ACCACTTCATACCTCGATCGCGGCAGAAGGCAGGAACCTCCATCAACCACAATACCAAAACAGTCGATCATCACTGGAGACCCTACGAGGCGCTGCTTGCCAAGTGTGATAGCTCCCGTATTGAACACTTACCGGAGTGTGAATGATCCATTCAGGCGTTGATGTGGAGTGGTTACAATAAGTGGTAGATCTCGACCAGTCGGGGTGGAACGTCTAGAGGAAAGAGATAGCAAGCGAAAGAGGCTCATCGCATGATTTGAGGATAAGTCTTTGGCGGCGACATGTGTATGTAAATATCGAAAGGGCGAATGTGACCTCCACGACATCGCCACAATGATGCGCGAACACTACCACTCGAATCTGCGAGTGCCTTCACAGCGGCTATCGAAGATCATGTACTCAACACTGGAATGCGCTGTTTTCTCACAGGGTATAGGCTTGTATAACGTCCATGCACTTCGATGATTGCATCGCAGTCATAGCACCTCTTGAGTCACGGTCGTCATACTCGATGAGTGACTTTTGATGACGGAAACCCCGTGAAGTGACAATATGTAAACCTGTCATCTCGGCGCTGCTATAAATTTGAGCTTCGACGTCTATCCTCCTACACATATCGCCAACACACAGCTACATCGTTTCCATATCTACGAGTTCTCGTTCAGCAGCCTCTATCACCATTATCATACACAGGCACACATACCTATTCTAGCCTTTGATCGTTGTTCTTCAATTTTCGTCGACAAAGTATCGAGTACTCGGCTACCGCAACTCTCGCCATAGGTGTATTGCCTACGACTACTATCACTCGAGGAAACCTTCAAACACCCCGACATACCCACTACATATCTCCAAGCCTCATAATCTCGTTGCCTCGAAGTCATCTATTTACGTCCATCACCACTACCCTATCGACACGTTATTCATCATCCTACAGCTTCAACATATCATAGCCGTACGCCGAATCGAGACTTCCGAGCCAACCGAGTAACCTCGCGACAACATTAAGAGTTATCTGTAGACAACGTTACAATGCCAAACTCCACTCAGCGTTCCGATGAGCGTAGAGGGAAAGAACAATGGGTCTGCAGTAATTGCAAATGGATTATCGTGGGGAAAACAGCCACTATCGGTGACAAGTGCCCACAATGTAAAGCACTTCTCAAGAGAAAAAGCCAAGGCCGGAATGGCTGTGTCATATCGGGTGAAGACAAGCCTCATTGCGATGTACAGTGATCTGTCACATACTAGGAAGCGACATCCAGGCGGAGTAGGTGCTGAATCTGCTTCTTTTCCGATCACCCGAACTGACAGTATGACAGGGTTCCTCAAACCAAGCACTCGGAGCTGGTAGTATTTAGTCTGGCGTGGAAAGGTAGTTTGCCACAAGGGAATTGACATTGGCGAAGTCAGGACGGGTGGAGCTTAGATAGCAGAGGTGGAATAGAAAACCTGTTCTTGCATATTGTCTTCTATGCCACTTTTGATATCTTGTCCTGATTCTCACTGAATGCGTGATGATATGTGGGGCACATGTACGTGAGAGGTGACACGCCTCGTGAGTGGACTTATCGCGTACTGCATAACGCGCCATGTGAGTGCCAAAGATGTGTCGCACCCTAAAATACATCGACTTCTTCAGAATTACATGTTGAGAGGGGATAAATCGCTACTCCTTCACAGCAGTGGCTGAGTTGGATTCGGTATCGGCATATCGTGCGAATACATCTCAAGCATGGTCTTGTCCTTGTTGGAATACGTCACTGTAGTGAGTCGAAGTTTGAATGAGTCGCAGTGTGACACCATGGTCCGCCCCAACGTCTGAGTGCATCTCGCCCTTGACTAACATGTGGGAGTGACAGAACCTGAACGTTCGAAGCAGACTTCCGCTCCTTTATGATAGCGCACATTCGTATTGACGCAGCGTTTCTGAGTCTACGCGCTGTGACTGCGTACCAGTAGTATGTTCGGTAGACATACGCCTACCATGATCTTGCCTCTTCACCACTTACGCTCGCGCTTCCTGTCCAGATATCTATACATGCCCGTTATTCACATTCATTCTTTGCACCCAGCATGTCGGGGATACCGCGTCACGAACTGCAACACTATCTCCGACCAAATGCATTCCAGAACCAAGATCAACAGCAAGGCGCAAAACGACTTCAGATAGACTGGAAATGTTGTCAAGAGAAATGCAAACGGCGCATCAACAATAATGTTCATAAAGGGGCCAGCTGCACGGTCTGCAGACACAAACTAGCCGATTGCAACGAATGTCTGGGGAACAGACTTTACGACCACAACGCAATACCCGAACTTCCCAGTTCCACCTTCTTGTCGTCGAATGCCGGATTTGACCGCCCAGCCGCGAAAATTGCCGCGCAACAAGCTGCCAAATTGGTAGGGATATGGAACGCGAAGGAGGCTATGCGAAGGGAGAAGATAGCTACGGGAGAAGATAGCTACGGGAGTGGAAAGAAGAGACAGCGAAGAAAGGTGGAATAAGAGAAAGAGAGGAGTAAATTGCGTCATTCTCTGAGCAGTGCTTGAAGAAACGGGTGGAAGCAGGCGTGTAGTAGGCGAAGACGTCGAAAGATAAATCACTCGCGCTGAGCTGGAAGAGCTGTAGACATCAGTGAGATTGTCGGCGAGGATGCAAATCCGATATCTGTATCGTGAGCATACCTTCAGTGACTATCAAATATACGCGACAGCCGTATCTGCAATGGATGCACATGGAGCATCTAGGACAATAGCAGTAACATCCAGAGCTAGAAGCCACGCGACCTTGTAATCCGCAATGTGAATGCGCGCGATGCTTCCGCTCGCATAAAGCCGTCGTCTTCGGTGTACTGCTTCCTCTTTCTACAACCTCTTATACGCGAACCCACTGAACTAGCTCATCTACTGACCGTCGACTAAGAGAGCGGCGTACTGCGTGTCGCTTGCCCGTATAGCCGACTCCAGTTTATACCACTCACACGCCCAGCACCAACCTCGATCCCGCGATGGGTTGGTACTGCTGTACCTGCGGCACCCCGAACGCCGGTGACGGTGCCTCTGAACAAGACCACGCACGCGTGACGGCGTGCAGCAACTGCAAGCATGGGTGTTGCTGGCAATGCGGCTTATTCCATCGCGGTCCAGAAGATCCTTTGAAAGCATCGGCGGAACCCAGCCAGCCCAACCAGCCCAGCCGTCGTCCAGTTCAAGATAACCGCAATCGGGCCACCGCGGAGGCTCAGCCAACGTATCCGCGTCCGATGACTAGAGCGCCGACTCAGAGGTCGCGAGGGGGAGGGAGGAAGAAGAAGGAGGGTGATGGTTGCGTTATCATGTAAGGAAGACTAGGGGAAGTAGATGCGTGGGATGATGAAATCGTAAAGTAATACGGCGTGGAGAAGGCGTATGGGAGAGGGAGGCTCATCGAGAGACATATTGTGTACATCCATGGATAGGTACGGTTCCGCAGTAAGCAGGCGAGGTGTCGCAAATGTTGACCCAGTTCTCAACGTTACGTATAACTTCTGATCATGTCGATGGCTGGTGATGACAATGAGGGGAATGCGACTGGCGATGGAGTTGGAGGCTGAGGCACCGCACAGTCAGAAGGACCTAGGGGCCATGAGTCATGCTAGCGTGTATACCGAGTCGTTGAAAGGGCATCGCACCTCCCGCTAACCACGCCGCATCAGAACTACCACATGGGCAACGCGTGCGCAGAATTCTGCAGCGGACATTGAGAGGCCCGTTGCAGGTGCTTCTCCGATGCCAATAGCGCGCGTAACTTCAACGTGCTTGCGGCCACGCTGAAGCTGGCTCCGCCCGGGCAGCTCTCACAAACGACACGCGAAACCACCAACTCACACAACTATCACAACCACAACAGCCTATACTCGTCTCCAGTCACTAACTCGACTTCATCCTCTCTCTTCCATAGCCCACCATCCCGGTCCTCGGTCCCCGGGCCCTTCTCAAACCCCCAACCTGCGACATCCAACGCCCCAAGACGCGAAACCACAGCGCCGGTATCTCTCTCCATCCGAACAACGCACGCGCCCCATGCATAATCTCAGCTGCCGAGTCCCAGCACGGCGAGCCGTCTTTATGCTCGCCCAGGAGAGGGATGAACGGAAGGGAGAAGGGAAAGGCGCTGTTGGTGGCGTGCGTGCCCAGGTGCTGTGCCGTATAGGAGTACTGGGGGCCTGCGGCGTAGGTCGCAGAGGTGCGTTAGCGAAGCCAGGAACGGTCGCGTGCGGCAGTTATTTCCCCGGACTTCTGGTGAAGTCGGAGGGATGAGAGCGAGATGTTTGGCTGTGTCGGCGAGTCCGCTGATGTTGTTCGATGAGATAACGATCAGCATCGTGAGCTTCGTCGAGTCGTGTGAAAGCGATCTACGATCTACAGTTGGTAGACTTCCGCCGTTTTTGGCTGGGTCGCCCCGCTCAGCTGTCAAAACAACGTCGAAACTGGCGTGTAGGGCTAGGAGCCGACCGGAAGGGGTCCTGTCAAACGCGGCCTGACGTGCAATGTGTCAGGTAGCAGGATCGTTCTCGTTCCGGAATGTCGAAGTGCTGCTCATCGCATGAATGGAAGGGGTGGAGCGGCAAACAAGCCTCACGATCCACGGCTGTCTAGATCGTCAGGCGTTTTAGGCGCCTGTTGTTCAGGCCACAGCATGTTTGTGTCGGTGTGAGTGAACGTTGTGAAGTAACACAGGTGGAAAGATATGACGTAGTCAAGATGGAAGGTAAGAAGAAGATGCGCCATGTCATTGAGGGTATTTCTATCGAGAAGCGAACCAAGGAAACTATATAACAGCATTCTTATCCGGAGAATGATTATGGTAGAGACTGAGATTACCGCAGCCACGCTTTGCGTGGTGGTGTATAAGGACTGTGTACCCTTTTTATATCGACAAAAGTGTTAAGGAAATGAGATGTGTGGCTCTACAAGGCACTGATACAATCAGGCTTCGATAATTCGCAGGCATTGAATCATGCCGACGGAAGCTTGCCTGCGAGCTCCACGTAGCGCGGCCAGGTGTTGGTGAAGACGAGGTACTTGATGCTCTCAAAGGCGGGGTCAAACACCTCTTCTGTGAACTCGCTCGGGACTATCGACCTGGTGCTCGATGTTGAGGACGAGGTGATGTTGGAGTCGATACTCGCTGGCCGGCTTAATGTGTCCTCCCATGGGCATACGACATTGTCTCTGGCGACGGGTGACTTAGCTTCCTCTGGTGTCTGGGCACGCGGCATATACGGGTCGAACTCCACTTCGGCGAACATGTTTTGTAGAGTTTTGAAGATCTTGTATTCGATATTGATCGGAGCCTCGGCGGTGAAGGGGTTGATAAGTGTGTAGAAGAGCAGAGACGCCTCGTTGAACATCTGTCGCCGTTGAGCAGTGGTAACAACCTTGAGGCTGCCCCACTTCTTCCTGAAGTTGCGCACTTCACGGAGGAAGATGCAGTTCTCGGCTGTGAACTCGCGTGCAGCAGCCCAGGCGATGAGGGGCTCGATGTTCTGCTCGATAGTGAACTCCAGTGTCTGCATCGACGATTTGGCCTTGATCTCCTTGGTGTAGATCATGGTAGTCGATTTCCCGGATAGTTGCGAGTGGTTGGAGGTGAGCGAATCAGTGTCGGAGATTGATGATCGTCTGTTCGGTTGGGCCCTCAGTGCGTCTCGCAGTGGTATGATGATGAGAACCTGTTGGCAAACGACCAGTGATGGTATAAACCTACATCGGGGTGTCAGCTAAGAAACGGGTCAGAGAAGGCGACTTCACTTACCACCCGGCTGGTGCAAACACCTTGTTGATGTCTTGGATCTGGTGCATCTTTGAGTACGTGAAGGCGATCCAAAGTGGCGTTCCTGGAAGACTGAAAGCAATGTAAGCAGGATGGAATGAAGTCGATGCGAACAAACGTACCCAGCAATGATGGCAAGTCTCGTTTGCCAGGCCCACGAGTGAACGTCCTTGATGTTGCGGATCTTCCATAGTATCCACGGACCAACCATCATTGTCCAGAATAGCTGCACAAAGATCGACGGAATCCTGATTCACAATCAGTGAAAGACTCGTGCAATTGCGTTATGATAACATACCATTCACCTCCTCTTCGGCATTCAATGTAATTAGTAGGAACTCCGAAGAAACCGTACGCATCGTGAAAGCGGCGAGAACCGAAGAACAGCATGATAGCGGGCAGGAACTGCTGCGGTCAGTGGTGTACACATGGACGCACTACAACATGACATACCGAAAGGACTAGTCCAACCAAAGTACCAAAGTATACTTTCTTCGCCGCATCGAGATCGCGCCACGCTTCGAGAAGGCCGAGTGGGGTATACGACATCCGCTTCTTGCGCGCACCCTCCAGAAAGTTGCGTGTCATACGGCGCTGGCTCTCGTAGGCTGTGAGCACCTTGGCATTGCATGCTGTGAGGACTTAGTATGCATCGGACCTTGCGTTGAACCTCAAACTTACCTTGGAAGAATGCCATGCCAGATGGAAGAAATACTGACATAATCCAGAACTCGGCTGAGCATGGAAAGAGACCGTTCCACGGATAGACGAGTAGGACAAGGATGAGATAGATGTGCAGCATAAGCACCGCTGCGAAAACGATCTTGATATTCCGTATCTGCAAACAAAAAGCCTCCCTACGTCGATGGAGGAAGAAAAGCTCGACACTCAGTATCAGCGTGTACAATACGGCGACAACAATGTAAGCGACACCGAGACGGTCGAGATTGGCCCTTGTTGTGCCATCGAGTACTCGTGGGCGCAACAGAGGCGGCATGGTGATCATGCTGTGTGGGGACCAAGCGGGAGTGATAGTTTCGATTGACAGTGAAGTATGAGGATTTGAGAGTCAGGCTCCTCCTCTTACTTAACAGAACGAAAGTGGGACCGTGTAGCGGAAGGATTGAAGGATGCTGATACCGAGGGGGCGGGACAGGTTATGCCAAATGTCCATCGGCGAACAGGGCGGCACACAACTGCTAGGGAGAGCGGGAAGACGTAAGAGGTATTAGAACTGCCCTGCACATGGGTCGGGTCTGGTAAAAGATACAACAGGGCGAGGTTAGCTGCGGCTCGGGGAGGCCTGAGCGGCAAGGGATTGCTCGATGAGAGGTGTATCGCAGGGTCGGATGATACTGAGCCACCAGGGCTAGTCACTGTTCTTAGTGTAACGGGAAGGGATCGCGTCCTCTGCAGGACTGCAGCAGAACGCGTGAACGCCATGGCGTAGAGATGTGTCACGACGACTACCACGGGGGTACAGGCTGCTACCTTGTCGGGCTGCGACCGCGGAGAGCAATTTGACGTCCGCCTCCAAACATGCCGGTCAGCATGCAGTCCACTGATGTGTGAACGGTAGGAAACCCGGTGAGACGAGAGTGTCGAAGTTGGGGTAGATCATGTTCTGGTTCGTGCTGGGCTGGATCGTCGCATGCCGAGATCAGACATCGGAGGTTTCGGCACTCCAGCAATTTCCCAGGTACCCCAGGATTCGCTCCTACCATCACACCAACGTCAACGTTTTCGTGCTTGCAAGCGTTTCCATCGCTACACACGCTTAAAGAAACCATCACGCCGTTTCCTTCCGTTGTAACTCCAATTTCGAACGCTTCGTTCTGGCGGCAATGACCGCATGCCGCGGCTGCAGGTACAGTGCTGTGCTCTACCCTTCGCAGGCCGCGTTGCAGCACCGCACGCGCCGAATTCTGCGACTATAGCACTTGGACTATTGACGCAGCTCGATTCTGTGTACACAGGAATATCCATGCAGTACTCCCGTTTCATTGTGCCTTCGCACGTCTTCCCATTGACCGGCAGAAAGTCTGACGTTCATGCGTTCTTTTATCCTTCGCGGCTTCGAAAACATCGCGCTACGTCCAGTCATGCTCAACACTTCTGTCAGTCTCAGAGGTTTCACGTCAAACTTCTAGAAGGCCACCTATGTTCCTGTCGCGGATGCTTCAGCGTAGCTGTCACAAGCTGTCCATCGGGCACGCCGTCCGCTTGAGGGTGTACCTCCGCACCTGTCGACTATGCAACGAGCCGCGGAAACCTTCAAGCCAAGATACACGCATTACTGATCGAACATATCCACCTAGTGCGGGGAAGCGTGCGGGAGGACAGAATGCCCACTGTGGCTGTACCGTGGCGGCAGGGTGTCGATGCCTTCCGGCCATCGGCATGTCGCATCACCATGAAAGATGTGTGGTTTCGATAACGAAGGCTGCAACCCCCAGTAGCATGCCGACCGTGTAATTACGGTTACCTGAATATCGATGCAGCATCCGACCGAGGAGGGCGGGATCTCCGTCTGGTTTCTGCGAACGTGATCAGGTACAAGGATGCGGTCGAGAGGTTGAGCATTGTACGACCTCGAGGCCCAATTACTTCACGTGTAGATACAGTTCTGGACTGGGTCGCTACATATCGTGGTGTACCTACCCGCGAACCCGACCCCCCTGCCGTTGGTACATAGTATTGGCGCAATGACGCGCTGACGCGCTAACACTTTGAGTTTGAGTTCGCCTCACACTCAACAAGATCCTATGTCATTACCGAAACCATACATATGATTAAGTACTGTGTACGTTCGACGGACTTCCGCACGTCTAGTATTCTTGGCGTCATGTACTAAAATGGCCTCGAATTAACCTTGCTAAACACAAACAAAATCTTACCGTCATTGCCACGCATTATAAAGAATATTTTATGACATTTCTATGAGCGGTTCATCAGTCCGGCAACGTATTCATGATCTTCGATCATTGTATTGTTGCCACGCGACATCATATCATGCGCCCACCCCGTGCAGGAAATTTTCTGAACACCCTAAAGCCTACCTTGACGTTAGATCATCTACTTTGCACATTTTCATCTTAATGTAGGCTGCAGACTCGTTCATCCTTTTCCTTGTATAGGGTGTGCCGAAGGACGACAAAGGCCATGGTCTTGAATCTATGGTGACACTGCTTCGTGGGGAAGCGGCTGCTCTTTCGCGTACAAGGCTGCTGTAACTCAAAGTGCTACCTATTGGGCCTTGATCATTGGTACTAGAGACGCTCGCTGGGCATAGAGATTGCCACTCAAGATCTTGAACACAACACTTAGCTAACCCGCTACTCTTTTTTGGAACCGTGTCTCAACTACTCTCCTGCCGGAAGACGAAGTCAGGTGACGTTCAGGGTCCATGCCCACTACGCCCACCCATGGTGCATTACCAACAAATACTTACAATTTAGCAGTATCGTGGAATGACTACACGAACGATGCCGGTTCTACTCTACTTACTGGATTTTACTTGCGTACCATGGTTGTGGTGTGCATGTGGTCGGTCTCCAGCTTTTCGCTTAGTATGTGCCCTCTCCCATAGGATGAGCTATGGTGCGTGAAACGACAGAACCACAGTACTTTGACGTGACTCACGACGATCCAAAGTTGAGCATCCATCGTGAAATCCTACTGTTTTAGTATATAATCTCGCATGTTCAGTGCACCCTTTCTAAGATAGTTATCTCAAGACACTACTATCATACATTTCAATACAATACACCACACACAAATAACAGCAACAGAGAACTTCATGTCTTCTGATATGGCTTCCACCAACTCTTCCCCAGCGCAGTCGCGTACCAGTATGGAGAGTTCAACCACACTGGCGCCACAACTCTCGGCCCCTGGCCTCGCGCCCACCATCATCCTCAACGAACACACCTCGCCCGAACGCACTGCGCACGCTTGGTCCACAAAACGAAAGTGGTGCCTTCTGACCGTGGTCGCATTCTGTCAGATCAGCATGAATCTCAACGCCTCGGTATACTCCAACGCCGTGCCTCTGCTGAACGACTACTTCGGCATCACAAACGCCCGGTTGGGAATGACTGCCTTCCTCGTCGCATATGCGTTCGGCTGCGAATTCTGGGCGCCGTTCTCTGAGGAATTCGGACGCTGGCCTGTCATGCAAGCTTCTCTTGGGCTGACGAACATCTCGGTCCTGGTTTGCGCCACGTCCAACAGCTTCGCCGGAATTATCGGTGGCAGGATCATGGGCGGCTTGTCTTCGGCTGGTGGATCGGTCACCATGGGCATGGTCGGTGACATGTATCACAAAGATGAGCAGCAATATGCCGTCTTGTGGTGTTCGCTCTTCTCCTGTCTCGGGTCAGTCATTGGAGGCATTATCGGAGGTCCGCTCGAGCAGTTCCTGGGTTGGCGTTGGAACTTCTACATCCAGCTCATCCTTGGAGTAACCACCCAGCTGCTTCATGGGGTCATCGCCAAAGAAACTCTGGCTCCTGTGATGCTCGACAACGCCGCGAAGAAGGAACGAAAGAGCGGTAATATCAACATCCGGGGACCGAACGAAGACAAAAAATGGAGGGACAGGCTGCACTACAAGGAAGTTGCCATCACGATGTTTCGACCATACCAGCTGCTCTTGACTGAGCCCATCGTCCTTTTCCTGTCGCTGCTGAGCGGTATCGCCGACGCGCTCATCTTCTCTTTCTTCGAGAGCTTCGGCTACGTCTTCCAACAATGGTCGTTCACGCCTACGCAAATCTCGCTTGCTCTCGTCGCATTAGCCGTGTCATACATCATCGGCTACTTCACCTTTATCCCTATCATCGCGCGCCACAATGCCCGACGTAGCCGGGGTGAACAGCTCGCACCTGAGGCACGTCTCAAGCCACTCCTGTGGCTCGTCACCCTCCTCCCTGCTGGCCTGCTTGTCTGCGCATTCGTCGCAACAGGGCCACCACTCCACTGGTTCGGCGTCATCATGGCCACTCTCCTCATTGGAGTCGCGAACTTCTCCATCTACTACGCGTCCATCGATTACATGGTCGCCGCCTACGGACCACACAGCGCGTCTGCGACTGGTGGCAACGGCTTCATGAGAGATCTGCTTGCGGGTTTGTGCGCGCTTTACACTAAGCCCATGTACAGCAATCTAGGTATTCAGAGGTCGTATCTTGTACTGTTTGGTTTGACAGCGCTGTTTTGTCTGCCGGTATACATCTTTTACTTCAAGGGTCCGGCGATTCGTGCAAAGAGTAAGTTCGCGAGTCAATTGGCGAGAGAGAGCGAAGCGCGCGGTGCGCCAGAGGTGTCGATGAGTTCTGCATCGCCTCCGAGGGTCTTTCAGGAGGTTTAGCGTTGCGTGTGAGACGACTCGTGTTAGCTTTTGGTTCAATTCTTGCTTTGGTGGATACCCAGGCGTGCGTAGGTTGCAGTTGCTTTGTACGTATATAACAGAAAGAACAATAAACACGATAGAAACATATTTGCATAAGCGCACCATGTGTCTATAGGTTGGCGGGTAATTACTCTGACTTCGTGAGGGTGCCTAGGTAAGAGTGGAAGATAAGTGCGCGTCATGATGACATAAGCGCTGCTTCAACTGCCGAGGCTTGCCATTAGTCGCGATGTTTGACCGGCACCCACGTCGACTGATCCTCGAAGATGTCATCGAACGGTAATACAAGACTGTATCCTTGGGCAGATCATGATCGACCTAGAGCTTAAGATGTAGCATTCACCATATTGAGCTGGCAGCTCAAGGCCTCTGACCCATACACATCGTTTCGCAACACAGCACGATGGCACCAGCAAAGCCCAAGGACATAGTAATCGTAGGAGGATCCTTAAACGGCCTTCTGACTGGTGTCGCATTGAAGCGCCTTCGCAAAGATCTCAACATCCGCATATTCGAACGCAATCCGACGCCGCTTCTGCAGGATCAGGGCGCTGGTGTGGTGGCCGGACAGGACGTACAAAAGTTCTTCAAAGCGCACGACCGCAGTCAAACCACGTTGACAATCCCAAGTCACCAACGGCTATATCTCGATAAGGAAGGCCACGTCATAAGCCGTCACAATCAGGAGCAGCGCATGACAAGCTGGGATCTGTTGTACCACCTCCTACGAACGAACTACGATGGTACGGAGACCGACTACGCGAAGGTACCCACGACGGAAGAAGGGGAGGGAAAGACATCGTATGAGTATGGGTGTACAGTTACGAGTGTTGCGGCACCAAAACCTGCATCATCTCTGGAGTTGGACTTCTCAGAACCTGTCAAGATCACGGTCCAACACAAATCCGGGGACACGTTTTCGACCGAAGCCGACCTTGTCATCGCAGCCGACGGACCCAGCTCTAAGATACGCGCCGAATACTTCCCCGACGTCAAGCGGACGTACGCCGGATACGTAGCATGGCGCGGCACAGTACCCGAAACGCAAGTCTCACAGGCTGCCACCGATGTCTTCGTCGAGAAGTTCCCATTCTACCACACCGAGGGTATCCAGATACTAGCATATACTATACCAGGGAAAAGTGGGACAACCAAACCTGGTGAGCGATTGCTGAACTGGGTCTGGTACGTCAACTACAAGGAAGAATCGCCGGAGCACGTCGAGCTCATGACAGACAACGAGGGGAAGAGACATCACATCACATTACCGCCGGGTGGAATTAAAGAAGATGTATGGAGACGGCAAAAGGCCCTCGCGAATGAGATACTCCCACCACAATTCGCTGAGCTTGTCAACAAGACTGAGGTACCCTTCGTACAAGCCATCACAGATGTCATCGCGCCATCTGCCTTGTTGGAGAACGGTAGAGTACTCTTGCTTGGCGATGCACTTGCTGGATTCAGACCACATACAGCGGCGAGTACAAACCAAGCTGCCCTAGACGCGATGAAGCTTGCTGGCGCTGTCGACAAGGTTATCGAAGGAGGAGCAATGGACGCGCTGAAGAAGTGGGAGGAAGAAGTAATGGAGTATGGTAAAGAGATGCAAAGCCACGGTGTGCAGATGGGGAACCGAAGTCAGTTTGGTGATCATCCGATGCAAAGGTAAAGGTAAAGGTAAATTACGAGGTGTACTAGAGCATCTAAGGTAAAGGTAGAAAGTATGTGCTGCTATCTGTTTCTCTAGCTAATAGTTCTAAACTACTAGGGAAATAGATAGCAAAATTATCTCGTCCTCTCACCCTTAATGTTCTCTTACGATGTTTTCGCTACACCTATCTCACCATGTGCTATTATACATCTTACCGCTCTTTAGGCACACTCTACATTCCCTCTCTTACCTGTCAAGACACCCCGCTCTCTGACCGCCTGGTAAGAGAGACGCTTGTCACACATATAAAGTCTCCAATGCTTCCATCTCTCCATTCCTTCTACACCACCACATCTGACACCTCTAACATTCCATACATTCCATACATTCCATACATCTCAATCACTGCACCACCTTCACGGCTCTATAGCAAACGACAATATGAACGGCCCACCGAATCCCCCAGAGCAGCTCGACTATTATGAAATTCTCGGAGTTAATGAACGCGCATCATATGCTACGATAGAGAGATGTCACAAGCGATTACAAGCTTCATACCATCCTGACAGTAGAAGGGTTGGTGCTGCACCCAGCACAGAGCACTTCCAAAACGTGAGTACTTTCATCAGACAACTGATGACATTCCGCTAATTATTAACCATAAGGCCGGCATTGCCTGGGATACGCTCGAAAGCGATGGGAAGCGCGCCAGATATGACAAAAGTTACCCTAACATACGAAAGCAATGGGACGTCTATCGAATAAACCTCGCCAAATGGAACGATGAGCAACGAGAAATCGCGCAACGACATGCTAGAGCCGCAGCACGACAGCAAAAGGTTCGCGAGGAAAACATGACGATCGAGAAGGAAAAACAAAGAGTGTTAGAAGAAAAGGCCAAGGAGGCCACTAGACGTCGAGCTAGGGAGGCTAATCATCGAAACTGGATGGAAGAAGGAATCCGTCAACGAGAGCGAGAAGCACAATACGCGAAAGAGCGTCTCCAGGAGGAACACAGGCAACAGGAGCTAGCACGAGCTGAGGAAGAAACCCGTATAAAAGCTGACTGGGTGAAGGCCCAGAAAGAACGAAACGTTGCCAAGGGGTTTGGATCATCACCGCGAGCATCAGACGAAAAGGATGAGCTAAGAGAACGCTGGCGTCTTGCGGAAGACCGAACAAAAGAGCAAGCTCGTAAAGCCGGACGCATGAATGACGCCGCCGCTAATGAGAGACTTCGAAAGCAACAGGAGATACCTCGACCAAATGAAGACGAACACGGTCAATCTACAAGATCGGCTCACAACGAAAGTCTAGAAAGAGAAAGACTTGCTAAGAAACAGCGCGATGCGGACGAGAGACAGGCCAAGGTCTTCGCCGATGCACAGAAGCGACATGCCGAAGCAGCTGAAGAGCGCCTTCGTCGCCAAGAAAACGATTCCAAATCGCTCAAGCGGCCTACCACTGATGATGTCGAGCAAAACATGGCAAACGCAAAAACTTCTAAGGTCGAGACAGCTACTGCTCCAAGTTCCCGCCTCCGAAAACTCATGGCACTCGAGCAGGCCAGGCGGAAACACAGCGAAAGGCTTCGGGAGGTAGGAGGACCCGGAAATGAAGAAAAGCTAAGAGATGAGAGTATTGAACTGGGATGGAAGCACGTCGAGTATCAGAATGAGCCGTGTCCACAATGCTATACAAAGAAAAGTGCTGCACAGTTCGGCTTATGGGAGTGCCCAGACGGAGGGGCATTACGCTGTCGACCATGTTTGGCGGCATTGAGTGTGTTTAGTGCATGAGGTGATTGCAGGAGCGTGCAGGGGACGATAACTCTCATGGGGCAAAAAGTTTTTTTTTTCCACAGGTTGTACAGTTTCCTTGACCTAATTCAGCAGCTATTCTCTTCCAGTCTTCACTATGCTCGTTGTGACTGAGATTTATCACACTAGCTAATCAGGTCCTCACGTGTACAATCACAGGGCGCTGAGCGCTATCCGGCAGCATTAAGATCCAAAGATAACGCAGTGTGATTCCAAAATGCTATATACACTCCACCAATGCTTTATATACACCGTCTCGCAAGCCTTAACGAGCGACCCCAAAGAAGTATGTAACCATGAACCATTCATCCCATCCTATGCCCTCACGACTTCTCATATCTCGTTATTCGTGTTCGTATCTAGTACTCGAGGTCCTTGGGGTGGCGCTTGGCGAGCTTGTTGACAGCAGGGCCGGGGACGGGGTAGCTGGTGAAGGACTGGAAAACGTTGAACTTGATACCAGCATCGTCGGCCTAAATCATATCGTTAGCACATGTTCGATATTGCACCTGCATGGTACGACTCAAGTGGAAGATCTTACCTTGTACAAGCTAGTACCAGCAACACCGCCGCTGGGCTTAGCAGTTCCAGAGCCCTCAACCTTGAAGTTGACGCACTGGGGGTACGCCTGGGCGCCGTTGGTCTGGCCAGCAGCGTGCAGAGCGATGATCTCGTGGCGGACAACGTAGTTGCCAGGAGCGACGTTGGGGAAGGTGAGATCCCAGGCGAAGTTGTTGGCGATGAGGTCGTCAGTAGCCCACTTTCCTGGGTTGCTTCCTGACTTCCAGGCGCTGGACTGGATCTTGGTCCACTTCAGGTCAGAGGGGCTGACAGAGCCGCAGTCGCCGTTGCAGGGCGCAATGTACTCCTGGATGGGGCCAACGTGGCTGACTGGCCATGTGTCCCACTTGAAGGTGACCTTGCTACCGGGCTTGACGGTAACGTAGGCACCGTTGCTCTTGCCCTGCTTGTGGCAAACGATGGCGGCAGTGCCAAAGCTGTCAGGGGAGACGAAACCGTTGTCAAGGTTGTCGGCTTGCCATCTTTTGGGACTGAGTCAGTGTATGTTTCCTGTGCAGTTCGTACAGATTGACTTACCCTACGGTGGCGGGAATGGGGGTCTGGTACTTGAGAGCAGCGTTCCAGCCCTGGTATTCCTTGCCGTCGGCAACGACCTTGTCGACGTGGCCGTGGGCTGCCACAAGGGGCGCGAGAAGGAGGAGGAAAGAGAGCATGTTGATGGTATTCAAAGTGAATGACTTGTAGAAAGCGATTGTTGAAGCTGTGTAGTGATGGGCTTGCTGTCGAGAGTGACCTTCAACCTGGGACTTAACGCCCCTTCATATACTCCTCTGAAGTCTTCTAGTGGCCTTCTACTGACGCCCACGTTTTCCCACGACCAGGTATTGGCGAAGCCTTGCAATCAAAAAATTCATCTCCATGCACGAGTCGACCTGGTTTCTGAGTTGAACGCCATCCGCTCGTGGAAACACGCCCTGGTCGTCGAGCTCTTGGATCATTGGAAGCCCAGCGGTGTTTCCAGTCTGGTGACGGCGTGAAACCCCTGCGATAGGCTAGGAGAATTTCAATGACTCCAGTATTAATTTATGAGACGCAGTGCTGTCCTTGAAGTGGTGATGGGCAATCTATCCTCGGCTGCGGCCACTGCCGCCATCCAAGTGGTCACCAACCACGTGCGAGTTTCAGCCACTACGTTGTGGTACTTTGTTTACTTAAACTCTGGGCGATGTGGACCTCTCGGTGTATTGACGGGACTCAACGAAGAATATTGTCGTTGTTGTATCAAGCTGCATGCTCAGGTACTCAACAGCCGAGAGTAACGATGCGATGCCTAACATTCCGCTGATGGCGCAACTCAGCAACTCACGGGAACCAGCACGGATCTACGGCAGTCATAATGTAAGCCCTATGGCTACCGAAATGCAGTGTAACTAATACCCCGTGGGGTCTTGGACATACTTGCAGTGTTGCTGCAAGTGTTGCTGCATCCGAGTCGATTATATCCGGTGGCGTCAAAACCCAGGGCGTTTAATGTATATAGATTAATCACGGACCGCGAACCCGAACGTCAACCCACTTTGTGGCGATGCATCTCTTGCACAAGGCTGGCGATCGATGCGTGCATCTCTGAAACGTCTCAGGTCACACGAAGTGCAACTCATCTAGAGAGGCATTCCATCTACTCCGACCACGATGCAGCCTCGATCCTTTAAGCACTGAGAGGCCCAACTTTGCCGTCTCTTGAAGTCTTTTCAAAGAGTGGATTCGCTGATTTCTGGTTCCTGGATATCCTGATCTGGATTCGTGGAGGGCCTGTTGGTGTAAATGTCCATTACCAATTCCAGGTCCAGAATCTCGTCGCTCGGTGTGTGTCCGGCCATAACAGATTAACCTGAAGACTCAACAGAAGGAAGGTAGCATCGACAATCTCTCTCGATAAGAGATCCCATTAACATTCTCTTGCTACGTCAGGTAGGATGGACGTCGCCGGCGCGACTGGCGCTTGGAGTCTTTGAAACCATTGCGTCCGTCGCGCGCCGACCACGCCGGCCCTTGCTGGAGCGCATACCTGGGTACCATCATGTGTTGCTACTGAAGGATGCGCATCTGCGTCAAAGAGGATCACGTGTCGAATGTAAGCATTGGCTTCAGTGTATCGCAACCATGGGAATCAGTAAAATCTCATCTCAACAACCAGAGTGTCCAAGAGGAGGACCAGAAGAAGGACGTCGAAGGTGTAAGAAGCTTGGGCTCAAGGGATCGTCAGGGCGAGCGCGCGGGACGGTGCGACGTCATCGCTGTTATGCTAAATTTGTCGCTCTGACGTGCCTCACGATCGGCGAACGATGCGCATCGTCCAGGAACAAAGTTTGCGTCACTGAGTGTCGCATCTTCATATAAGAAAGCTGATGCTCTCGCTGTTGGCCTGAGGAGGTGGGGAATCTGACGCTCGGCATGCCTGGAAGGTGCGGATGACGCGTCACCAAGGCTAAGTAAGACCGTACCACCACAGGCGTCCCCAGCGAACACTCACATTCACAGCCCCAAAAGACAGAAATATTCGCATCAAAATTGCGCCCAGAGGCAGAAGAAAAAGGAGGACATATCGCAGTATACAAAGCTAAGGAAACCAGAGGCTCCAAGAGTCGGGCCAAGTTCAGGTCCGAAACCTTCCAGCCAACATAGCCTCCCCGGGCTGTCCGGAAACCACACTTCCACGCGTGTCTACGCAGCAGACGAAGCTGGGGTGTTACGCGTTTCCGAGTGCCAACTGGTCTTAGACGTGGTCGATAGGTGGGGTAACGCAGCTTTACTGGCTGCCCAGGCACGTGAATATGTGACGCAGCCAATAGCATGGTGAAAGGGTCGCATCCTCCTAGCAACCGATTGGGTCTTTGGTTCGCATCAGACGCACGATCTGGAAGACCTTGCGGTTCCCGAAGCGATAGCTGTAACGGTATATAGGTAAGTGATCGTGGCACGCAGGGTCTCGCAACTCGGTGTCTGTGGGACGTTGCCGCATCACACCATACTATTTCGTCGTCGTCAGCGCAACGCTGACCATCCCCTCGGTCTTTTTCTTGTCACTCCTGCAGCTTCCGGAACCTCCGCGCATCAGGCTAACTCTCTGCCTTACCTTTGTTGATCGTGAGAGTGTCACCACAGCAAACACTACTCCATCTCTATATCACTCGCTCCCGTCGCACGAGATTCTGTACCACAGCATATACCCCTTCCTCCGCAGTCGCAATGTATCTTCAAAAAAGAAACAACATGGGCTTCGACATCGCCCCAGCCCTCATCATTTTTCTCGTTATCCTCGGAGCAGGCGCGCTCGTCTGCTGCGGTTTCGCTGTCTACCGGTTCTACGGCGGAGAGCCTGAAGATGACTCAAGACGTTTCCACAGAAGCCCAGAGCAAGACTCCTACATGAGGGAAGTGCGGGAACGAAGTTGGCGCAAGCTACCCCAGCTGGGTATGCCAAAGCCTTACTATCAGTCCAACCTGGGTCACGCACCGATGAGTCCAAGGTAAGATGACGTCGCTTCATCTGTGAACGTAGCCTCAAGCTGACTTGAACAAGCGGCAGCAACACTACGTACGGATGAGAAACCGAGCATCCACCAGCCTCGTCGAGGTGGATGCCGAGAAAGACTGCAACACATGCGGCCTGAGAGGACTTGAGGCCCTACCACAGGACAACCAGCGACGCGACACTACGAAACGACCGAGAGGCACTACTTTTGCAATTGTATTGGATTAGACCTCATAAGAGATGTTCGGAATTTTGTTTTGGGTGATAAGAAGCGTTCGACGGATCAACCATCACTCCCGGCCTGACGGACCCCACTCGTCGAAGCCTTCCTCCTCCAGATACTTCACGATCGAGGAGAAGTGGCTGTGAAGCCACTGATCGACAGGGGAAAATCTGTTCCTCACGATCAGTATACTGTCAACCTCCCGGGAAAGCGGGGTGGTCCGAGACGGACAGATAGTTCTGGGGCGGGGTTCCGGGACATGGTTTCCATAAGGGTAGATTGATGTTTCCAAGGGATTTATACCTCTTGACCGATGTAGTGTTCCGAACAATGCAGTGCAAGTTCTTCACTCTACCACGCATGCGGTCGTTGCCATGAGCGTGAACTGGTACCAATCCGCAACACCCCGGTGACTTTGACAGACGACATCGCAAGACGTGCAAGGGGTATCCGTGCTTTCTTACCATGTTTCCCGAGCATGGACACGACTCAGACGTCAGCACGAAAGACGGATTGGGCCACTGGAGCCTCTTCGGACGACCATGAATCCGTTTTCCGATCGGCCGAGAGACGCACAAGAAGCTGGGTACAGCCACAGCCACAGCTGAGTCTTGCAGTCGTTTATGACATGCGCAGGGTCCGAAAGTCTAATTGTACGCTGTTTTGAGTCCAGACTGTATTCCTTGTGAGCCGTTCCGTGTCTGGGGCAGCGATGAGCTATCAGCTGTGTTCGACCACAGGCCGCAAGGTTCCGCTCTACGGATGAACTCACCACAGGACAAAGATGATGATTACTCTACATTCCCAGTGGAGCATTCTTCCATCCAGGTACGCTTGAGTCAGGGTTTGTGGACTAACGCCTGGACCATGCAAGTCGATTAGACGTTTAGGTGAAGAATGGCACTCTTCTGGACTGCTCATCAAAGAAGGAATTCTTGCAGCTGTACCAAAAAGACAGAAGCTTCGTATGGCATCAAGCTTTCTGGTATCTTCAATGCGGCCGGTATCGCACGCGCCAATTGAGGCTGTCAGCTTACCATTGCGTCTCGGGATGAGCAAGACTTGGGCATATACATGCTATCGTGATTGGAAGAAGGCGGCGGGTGTAGAAGATGCGCTGTACTTTGGTTTGTATCTATTGACATTTATCATGTCCTTTTCTAGAGTTCAAGTGAAGTTCGTGTCAGTTTTGAATTCCAGGCGGAGACTGTGATGGAGGAAATATGGGGAAGCGCAGAGGTTTTACGAGGCTAATGAGAGAGCGTTCGACGCTCAGAGTCCTTTCGGTCCACTTCCTTGGGGTAGGCGCGCTAGCCTATTGTGGTCTATAGTCACAGAGCGCTCTCACTCAACCTTGGAAGGCTGCCTGTGTCTACGCTGTCAAAAGAAATTCAGTTCCCATTTCCAAATCCTACAGAAAGTTTATTCGAGCATCGTTCTTCTGTCAAACTCAGATATGTGTTGCGAAATTGGTTGTCTTCATTGCAGGTGTTGGTGCGCCAGCCACCCCGCAGATCGTCAAACCTCCATGCACCCCAGCTATGACCTCACAAATTGCCGGCACTTTACGCGTTGGAGTCAATCTACAAACAACGTACCTGGAGTCTCATCCGTGAGCTCTCATACTACCTTCTTCTTCTGAATACCAATTTCCAGTCCGCTGACCGTTCGGGCCGGCTCACGAGCTAAATGACGTCGCCGTGCTTTCGACCTCGTGGGTCCATCGAATAGCTTCAGTGAATGTTGCATCCGTTGCCAAGCCGTCGATGCTCACCAGATCCATAAGCGGGGTACCTCCAATTCGGAGGAACAGGCAGCGAATGGAGCAAAGACAGTCGGTGACCATGACGATCCATGTGTGCCGTCATAGCCCCGAACATATACTCTAGAGCGGTCCTCGTTGTCCATTGTTTTCGGTACCTCTCTCAGGCTCCTCAAGACTGCCTTGCTATCAT